AAACGTACAGAAGAAAACGGAACACGTCTGGCCTAAACTGCATCTGCACGAAGCAATACTTTGGAGTAAACAAATCAAGCGGGGGGCACTCACTGCATGCGTGCTGTCACACATACCTTACCTGCTTCTTCAAACCAGCAGGACCGCCGGCTCTCGACGTGCACGAATTGCTGACAACTCCAAACGATCGCTATAGTTAAAATCGGGAACAACCGTGCGACAATGCAATGGAGAAAACCACACCCAGACTCGGTAACGACGGCCAGCAAAACAGTGCTGTATGTATTTGACGCTAAGGCGTATAGACTATATGCCAGCGCTGGCGAGATTCTTGCACGCTCCAGTAGCTCGGTACAGCGAACTAGGCCTACCCACTGCACAATAACCTAGCTTGGGGTGTTGGGTTTGGGTTAGGGTTAGGGTTAGGGTAAGGGTTTAGGGGTGCGTTAGGCCTAGTGAGACCTAGCGCCTTGGTGCTGCCTGAGGGCTGGAAACCCGCTGTGGCTTTGGTTTCGTGTCTACCTCCAACCACAGCCCAAAAATTGTTGAACTGGCGAGTGCAAGAATCTCACCAGCGCTGGCGTATATACGCCTTTCGTGTACTTGACTTCATGTCCAACCGGGGAGAAAAGGCTCATTCCACCACGTGTCAAATTGGGTAAACAGCAGAACCGCCCGCCATGTAGCTCACGTGGAGACATACCCCCTCTTCTTGCAGTTGAGTGAGGTAGTGGAAAATGGTTCGTTCGGGAAAGCTCACCTCTCGTGGAATATGCGCTGGCGTTGGTGGTGCTGTATCCGCCGTTGGAAAGCCTATCCAACGCCCTCGCCTTCCTCGTACTCTTGCACACGATGCTCTCGTGTTTGCCAATCTCGTTGACCGGGTGGGCGGCGATGTCGTTCGCGGCGTGCAGTAGAGCCGGCGTGACGACCTGGTGTACAACATGACGTCAGCAGGCAGGGGGGGAAAGAAAGGTGCTGCTGAATGTGTGCATGTGGAGACATGTATAGCGGTGCAGTGCGTGCACCGTGCTGCTGCTTCCTACCGGTACTATGTACCTGCCATGCAATCGAATGTTTCCAAGCCCCATTGGGATTCAGTTTCTGCCGCCGATATTTTCAGAACCAATATTCGAAAACGACCCCACTTTTTTCACCCCACCGAGAATTGACCCCGCTTTCTGCATTTCACTTGGTTTTAGAGTAGGCGATCTCCGGTCCCTTCTCTAAAAGCAAGTTGTTTTCGATGTTTTCGAGACTAAAACGACAGAATTTCGTGTGGGTTTGAAGAGGTGTCTCTCCTGGCCCGTTCGGCCTCTCCAGCGAGTTTCGTGCTAACGCTTGTGAGAACGCGTCCGTTGTTGTATGTCTCATTCATAGATCTCCCCCGCCGCGCGAACAACCGAACCACCCCTCCCTCATCATCACCCCCAGTTGTACCCCCATGGTCGCAAGTACAGCCGCACCCACGTCGGGAAGGATGCGCGTCCACGGTTCGTACAGAATCATGCACGAAAGTCGACGACAAAGGACACATCCTTGTTAACAATAAGTGAAACATGCAATAAGCTTTCACCGATCACCACTGAGCAAGGCAACGCAAAATGGCAGTGCTCGAAGGCAGAGCACATTCACCAGCACTGAAGTATGTAACCTCATGAGGATGTTGTGTGTACAAAACTTAATTTTCTCCAGACTGATGACTGTGGACCACAGCAATATATATATATGAACGGGTAGTCTTTCTGTGTGTATATTTGTTTCTCCTAATATATATATATACATTGGTCTGTGGACCACTCACCGTATTCAGTACTACACTTGTAATAAGGATGTTCTCTTGTCTCTTCCAGACTGATTGTGCTCATAAGCCCATAATAGGCACATCCCATGTTCTCCCCTTGCCCCTAGCGTACAGGCCACACATCTCGCAAGAGATCAACCTCATTACGACGTGCACCATACACCTCGCAGGACTACATTCTGCTGTTGTGAGGTTGCACAAATGTATAGACTATATTGGTCTCCCAGGCTGACTGACGACCACTAGTAATCTGAATAACTGAGGACCACACACAGCAGTTGTCGGCACACAGTGGCATCGAATCTCTTGTCAGGGCGTGTCTTACCTGCACTGTTGTGGACAGGATCTACCGTACTACTGTGGTACTACGCATGTATACACGTATTGTATTTGTACGGCATACATTCGCAGCCAATTGCCAACCATGGCACTTCGTTTCACAGATAAATGTGTACAGTAGATATAGGGCGCAATTCGACTGACTCTCGGAGCCCCTGCCGCCGCGAGCAAGGTGATTGGCTACAGCGACGCTAAGTCTTCCACCAACACTCACAAGTACCCTATGGGGCCGCTTCTTGCCGAAGCAGCCGCTGCGTTTGCAGTCAGGCCGTCGGACCCAGGCGATGGAGAGCAGAAGAGCGATGACGACGAGGATGATGATGGTGATGATAACGACGTCATCCTCACCACGACGGGAGGGAAAATCACCGTGTCCACTAGGATGCATCATCTCTACATGAGACGGTGTCGTCCGGACGATACCGGTCACCCGTACCATGGAATGTGTTACTTCTTCTGATTCGCCTCGTGCGTGTCGAGAATGCTGTTCCCTCTGCCACCTCCAAACGGAGCACGTCAACCAGATCGGCGTCGGACGACTAAGGACCGCCGTCGGATGGCGAACGAATCGAAGATGCGTTCGACGCTCTTGCACCTACTCCCAAGAAGAGAGGTCGTCCTCGGGGCCAGCGGTACGACTTTGTCGGGCAGCCAAAAGATTGCCAAGCAGCAGGTATTGATTTTAACGAACGACATTCGTTACGGCCATTGTTTACACCCTCGGGTGCTACGCAAGAGGAACCAAAGTTCCATTGTTGCAGAATGAGTGTACCTCAACCCATATTGGGTCGTGGGACAACAACATAGATCACACTGTACCGTCAACCGCCACCGCCACCGCTGGGTTCGATAAATCACTGAAACACTCATGTTTCAACGGTCATATCGACAGGTTACGCGTGAAAGTTCGGTTCTAGTCAACATCATGCGAGACGTGCCTCGACAAGACACTCAACCGGAGCGTCACGCCCAGCTCATGCTATGCATGTTCAAGCCCTTCTTCAAGATTGCCGGCCTACGGCTTCCCAAGGACGGATCGTGGGCCTCAGCAATGCTTAGGACAGACACCACTGGAGCGTGAGATGCACGCTCGCCAACAAAACGCCTCAACATCGCTGGTATGCTCCGTCAACGCCTTGCAGCTGACTTTCACAAGACGCCACCAGGGTCACGGCTGGAGCATCCGCGAACGACGCCAAACTTTCCATCCAAGGACAAGATGCCACTCTCAAGGAGCGAGGTGCAGGGAAGGGATCTGTGCACCACGATACAGAGCCCGACAACGCCACAGCCACAGCCACCTCCTTCTACAACAGCGACGCCATGGACCCCTATCTACGAAGTTTACGTGCGAATGTTGAGTCAGTGGCGTCACGGGAAGCCAGGACCGCCATGGACAAGAGGAGGGAGGAAACAAACGCTCGCGTTGCGGAGTCAGATGTCGGTCCTACCTATCCGCAGCAGCATGATACGGTGAGACGCATTGCAGACGAGTTGGGCCTCAACCGCAAACAACGCCTTGCGTTTTTCCTATTTGGTGCCGCTTGGATACGAAGAACCGCCTCTCCGACAGCAGATGCCCTCCGCCTGCACGTATCGGGAGGAGCCGGGAGCGGTAATTCTTGCGTTCTGAGAGCTATCAAGGCTTTGATAGATTGCCCGGCGCTCAAAGGTGTTGTCCGGCCTGGCCGTCTCTTGACGCTAGCTTTCCAGGGGAAGCAGGCAGCTTGCGTCGGGGGAAACACCGTCCACTCTGCTACGGACGTTCCCCGCACAGACAAGGGCGGCACCTTGGACAACACCGCCGGTCAGTCGGGGCTGTCAGATGCCAAAGTGGTCTTCTGGAAAAATGTTGCCGTCCTCGCTATCGAAGAGGTAAGCATGGTCAGTTGCCAACTAATGGGGTGCATACAGAAGGCAGCCGCATCCGTGAGGCCATCGTCTACCAGTCTGCCATACGCCGGGGTCATACGTGTCACATTCGGGGATCTCAACCAGGTACGCCGCCTTTCATCTCTCTTCTCATTTTTACCCTTGCGTGCTTGCCCCATCGTTTACCACAGTTGTTCTTCCTTTGAGTCGATGTATTATTCGTTATCCTCCCACACTGCTGCCAACAACTGACCCCACGGTTTTTTCCCACTTCCCTCCGATCAGCTGTCGCCTGTTTGAAAGAAGTCCGTCGCATACGCAGCAGCAGATCCAGGGAAGCTCAACAACCTGACCCACACAGAGCGTGTAGGGCACTCCAGCTTCTGGGCAGCGAATGCCGCTGTCGTGCTTGACGAGACCAACAACAGGTTTCCCCCAACCTACGCCCCCATCATGGACCGACTCCTGCGAGGAGAGTGCACGGCGAGAGATGTTGACACCATCAACACACGGGTGCGCAATTCCATGGCCAAGCAACCTGACGGAACGTTCGAGAGGCTCAGCATGAAGCATTGCTGGATGGTGCAAACCATAACGTTCCGAAACAAGGTACGGTTCGTCGAATATTTGTTGCACATACTCCACCGTTTTAGTCCTACAAACACTTTCCTCACTCTCTGTGCTTGCGTATACATTTTTTTTATTACATCACTCGGGCACTGACAATGTCAACTCCGAATACATGCCCTCTCATCCATTGATTGTTCATTGTGCGTGCTCCGACGCACTCGTTCTTCATACAACTCCCTCATTTTCTGTGTGTTGCGAATACAATGATGCGATCAGGTCACACAGGCACTGACAATGCCAACTACGCGTGCCCTCTGCGAGGCTCGCGGGACCGTGTGCTACGTTACAAAGGCCTCCACACGCTTCAAAGGATCTAAGTTCGACAGGCAAAAGATGAAGGTGAGAAGCCCCGGCTGAGCCATCGGTGTGCATTTGTATTGTATTAATGTAACGAACCGTCACCTACCACCCAATCCTCACCCAACGTCTTCCCTCTGACAGGTTCACGATCCTGACAGGGGTTGGCCGACAGGGCTGAGGGAAGGTGTCGAGAACCTCGAAGAGCCGAAGACCGCGCATCTCCCCCAAGTGGTGTGCCTGGGGATCGGGCTTCCAATTGACTTATCGAAGCCATCTGGACAGCACGTATCGCTCGGTGTATGCAACAATTCCGACGGTGAGTGCGGGGCAGTACGTCTAATACTATGGAAGTACGTAGCTCTTCGTTTAGACAAAATGCGACAATGGTTAAATTATTGTACGGCACGCTCAAGTCGCAGCAAGATGTCGTCCATGCGCACCACAACCCCCGCTCAGATTCCGTACTCTTTGTCTCAATTGGTGCGTGTATAGGAAAAATAGTCAGCATCGACCTCGATCCCAGAGAGGTTGTTCCGGACGGCGAGTCCGGGGGCTACCGAGTCATTCACTTCGCCCACCCTCCCGTAAGGGTAGTCATCTACATCCAAACTGCATACGGCGCCGGACTACATCTCCACCCCTTCAATCGTGGCGAGATATCAGTTGGCGTCGAAAGTCGATCCTTTGACGTCGCCGGACTTCACGGCCGCAGATTCTACTTCACCCGGACGCAGATCCCTCTCCTTCCAGGCCACCTTTCGTCGGTCTACGGCGCGCAGGTATTCACAGCCTCGTACCTCCCAACTGACAAGTACCCAGGGGTACACAGCCTCTTCCCGGCCTGCCCCCCCCGTCCCTGGGGTAGGCCGAGGTTCCGCAAGTGGATCTAGACCTCGAAAGACCACCCAGCAAAGACAGATATACGGTCCCTAGCACTGTTGAGAGGGGGATCCTGAGTTTGGCGGTTGGGAGTTACTGCTGTCGTGAGATCGGGGTAGCTCCTGAGCCGCCAGCTTTTAAATGAGACTGGATTCTGACGCCCCGGCTTGGACACCGGGGCTATGCAGCAGCTGAGAGCACGGTGAGGGTGGCGGAGTGACCGCACGCCGTGGGGGTATGCCCCAGAGAGAGGAAAGGAGAGAGTCCAGAGATAGAGGGCCGCACCGCTCCGGGACAAGAAGACAACTCTATGGGAAAAAGCGGTGGGCGACATTCTTCAGCACCCTACTCAGCACCAAATCCTCCACCCTGAACCCACACATAATCGAACGAGTGACGCAGCGGCCAGCGACAAGTGACACTCAACGGTTGGGAGATGTGCCAGAACTCGAAGAGGTGGTTTCATGGACAACGCGGCAGCGTACGTCACACTGTCCAGGGCAACTTGCCTCGAGAAGCTCTACCTTATAGAGCTAGTCGAACTACAGGACCTTCAGCACAAGCCCGATGCAGACATCACCACTACTTTGGATTTCCCCGCTCGGCTGGATGTTGCTACCGTCGCCGCCTTCCTCGAGGATCCGACAGCGTTCCGTCCAGTAACCGGCCGGGCCTCCGTCTAGGCCCAACGGCGACGGCGGTGCCGCCGGCGGTCAAAGCCGCGGCTCGTCCACACCCTCTGCCATTTTCCTTCCGCCCAACACAAGAAACAATTGCTTCATTAACGCGGCCATCGCCACCACACTGGCCGCCTTCGATGGACAGACTCTTCCATTACCAGCGGCGACGACGCCTCGGCGGGCCTTTTCTTAGCCGCCGTCGACGCAGTTCGACAAAACATGGCCGCCGCACTCCCCACCCACGTGCTGGTACGTTCATGTGTCGCATTTTTTGTAGCTCTTCTTGTGCATTATTTCGTCATTTTGTACCATACATACAGCAGTACTTGACGCTTCCTTCGTATCTTCACGTATCTGCGTCACTGTTTTGTGCCTTCAGGACAAACTTGCAGCGGCTCGTTATACCATTATGACCAACGGCGTGTTACCAGAGGCCGGCTGTCACATGGGAGACGCTGCAACTGTCCTAGAGGCTATTTACAACATGTGTGACCACACCCGCCACGACCTCCATGGGTGGCCACAGGGATCCCAGGTGCAACACATGTAGTAGTGCATACGCGCAGAGCGTTAGGTATGGACTGGACGCGTCGGGTAACCTGTTACACCGATGGCCATAACGAAAGACCTGTTGAGCCACAACTGTCGGCGAAATGGCGCAATCCCACCGTCTTTATGGTGCCTCTTGGAGAGGCAAGAACCATGCAACAGGCACTAGATGAGGTATTCACGGGCGGTGCTTGCTATGACTTTGCCAACCCCAGCCCGGCCATATGCCCATTTTGTGAGAGTATGCCTGCAATCGACTGCACTTGGGAGTTTTAAGCCCTGGACTGCTAGCAATGCGCCTGACAGGTTGTACGTGTCGTCTGCTAGAGTTGATCATACCGCTGCAGCGGGGGTTCCACCCACTGCATCTGCGCTCATACAGATGGGAGTCCGGTACAGCTTGGCTGCCGTTGCGTACAACATAAGCGGGAGTACACACTACGTTTCACAGCTGAGATTGCAGGGGGGGGGGGGGGGGG